AACTAATTTAGGTTTTTCATAGCAACTAGGTGATTACTAAGATGTTTACTTGCAATAAACATCATAGGGTTTTATTTTTCTTTGCAGTTTTGTCTGATAATTATTTTTTTTCCCATGCATGTGTTCATGTTTTGAGCATTCAGGTTTTAATTGTAAATTTTCACTTGAAAAAATGTGTCTACACATCTTCTACATGTCTATCTTTTGTAATTCTACATCACTGGATCACTTTTGGAAGGGGAAGAATACTTCTGCAAGGCAGCATATATTATTAATTTGATTATATTTTTCTTTTTTGAGCTCATTGTAATATCTCAAAAGAAATAGAAATGCTTTTGTTTTTATTTGTATGTTCACGATTTTAGGTTTTTATATCACTGCAGAAATATATACTATGTATATGTTTGCTCATTGACTCAGAGCTGGCTTTCTTTACTACACGGTGTCAAAAAAGTAAAGAACAAACCTACATATAATCTTTGTTGTGACACTGTTTTAAATGTGTGAAGGAGATTCAAACACAAATATTATTATTAAAGCTGCCATCTCATGTCGAGCAATAGAAAATGGCATCTCATAGTATGCAATTAAACTGAATAATAAATAAAAGCAGCTCTCTCTAGAGGTGCATTTATTCTACTCCAAAAAGGTATTGGACTTGGGTTAAAAGAAAACACAACTTAGGCTTCAAACAAAAGGTAGGGTTTTTAATGTTGCTCCTGGCAACCAGAGGTATGTTAAATGAATTATTTTCCTTTATTTTCCCTGGTGGATTTGTAAGCTTATTTCACTTGGGAGAGAGAGGTGGCAACTCTAAACAAAAGCTGTTGTGTAACCTTCTTGTATAAAGCAGATTATTAAAATAAAGAATTTAAATCTGAAATGCACACACAGCATCCATGTACTGTTGTGTGGTCTACAGTAGCTAGAAAGCTGTACAAGTATTTTAAGAGGTATTATGATCATCTGGTTTTATGTGAAGTACAGTATATTACAACCACTTTTGCATTTATACTTTCCTGTTCCATTGTTTAGTTTATTTATAGAATTGTCGATTTGAGAACTTAAAGGAGTGATAACTGGTGTGTGCATGCTTGAGTAGCAAACAAAAAACTTTCTAAATCTTTAGAAATGAAAGCATTGACAGCATTTAAAAACATACCTGACACCTCATACTACAAATACTAATTTGAATTAAATAAACAGCAGGTATTAATTTGTACTCACATGGAAACAAACATTATACTCAGGAGACTGTTAACAATTTGAGTTAAATCTAGTTATCCTACATTATACCACATCATCAGACTTGGATAATGTTAACTTCATCCTTCTGCTCATAACGTTAGACTGCAGAGATGCATTTGGAAGACGGTTCACACTCAGGTCGCAAATAAAACTGGGCATGCTGAAGTGCCACAGAATACTGCATGGTGTTATTGTTTCCTGTTATGCCATTTAATGTCATTACTGTGGATACAATTTAGCTATTAAGAGTTTGTAGCATATGTTGTGTGACTGCTACAAAATGACTGCAAAACCTTATGTAGCATTTCTTATTTTGTTACAAGTTATTGATTAAATGATATTTGGGTATAATAAGGGAATTTTCTTAAGAGAAATCCCAGAATCCCTTCAAAGTCAACCACTGGGAAAGTATTGTCAAATTTGTTGGGGGGAGGGTGTTTTTCACAATATGGAAAAGTGCAACTTAACAGATGTTTCCTGTACATTGTTATTAATTAAACAAAGCACCATTTTGGGACATTAAAGGAGGTGTGTTGCAAGGCTTCTGCTCAGCTCCCCAAGGTATAGCACAGTTCATTTCTTGAAAGATTATATAATACATTAGTCTGAGAATAAATCAAGGTGGTTGTAGTACATAAATCACCTGTGTATGTGTATGGTTTGGCCTATTAATATTGTAACTTTTAAAGGATTTAAACATTTTCTAAGCCAAGGAATTGAAATATATTTTATAGTCTTTTATGTCTATATAAAAAAGTGCATGAGTTCAACATGGTAGTATTTAATTCAGCACTGTTACAGCTTTATTTGGATGATGCTTTTATCCCAAATTACTTTTATTTGCACAAAGTTATACTGCTGGGTACTAAAGAAAATGACATATCTTGGTCACAAGTATGACAACAGTGCTCCACCTAGGATATCAACCCATAACCTCTTAGGTACAATGCAAGAGCACATATAGTTTCAGCTACAGAATACAGTAGGTCAAGTGTTTTTCCTCATTTGAAAGTGGGGTAAAAAATATCGTAACTTGGACTCTGCATTCAGCTCCTCCCTTAAATAATGTATTATTTTAAAGAAAGCATTAGCTTTTCTGAAAGGTAAACAACTAGAATATTTTATGAATTTGGCTATATTGCAGTGCCAATATGCTTATCAGTCATTGACCTAATACTGGAGTTTAGAGCTGCCAGATTTCTTTGACAGGAATTGCATAGCATTTTAAAATATGCAGAGATTAAGAGATGAGAACTGATTTCCTGGGAGGGCTAAGCTTAACGTGGTTTTATTTGTGACCTGAGTGTGAACTGTCTTCCAAAGGCATCTCTGCAGCCTAGCCTTGTTAACCTCCTCAGTCTCCTGCTCACATTATCCAATTCGGAGTATTTATGGTAGCATAATATAGGATAACTAGAGTTAACTAAAGTGGTTAACAGTCTAATAGAGTATAATGTTTGTTTTAATGTATCAAAAAATACCTTTTGTTTAAGTAAACATTTTGTTTGCTTAGTACCTTTTGTTTTTATTTTATTCAAATTAGTATATTTATGCAAAGTTTGGGAGCACCTTTTACATTTTTTAATGATGTGCGAAAACCAGGTATATGTTTTATGAGCTGTCTGTGCTCTTATTTCTTAGGATGATAAGGTCAGCAGTTATGCTTAAGTATATTACTTGAACCAATTTTGTAATCACATTTTTTCCGTGAATACTTTGTTAATGAATAAATGAACAATGAAATAATACGTTCTCTTGATTTAGGTATATAGTCTCTTAATGAAAGCATGTATATTTTGTTTAATAGGGGTTTTGTGCTTAGTTAAATACAAGATTAGGATGTTTCTGATTAAATATCTTGTATCTTACTGAAAGTAAGAATTTGTGTATAATCAATTAATAAATAAACAAAGTTTATCTTTGTTTCCCCCTTTAAAAAGTCCCTTAATGGATTTTTCTAAATCTGAGACTCTCTGGTTGAATTCATATGGTGTGATTTTGTTAGCCTTAGCTATGTTTTGGTATAAAGTAATTTACCAAATGAAATGTCTGTTGCATCCCCACTGCCTTTCATACTTAGAAACTTTACAAATAATTTCTGTTGAAGTGCCCAACACATTACTTATCCTTCAAACAATCATGTTTAAAATCCAGAAAACAAGATTCTAATAAATAATAATATTATTTTAGTTATTTAAATATTATTATATAATAATAATATTTAAGATGTTCAGTATTTTGCAGAAAACTGGATGATAGTGGCAGGGTGGATAAGAGTTTTTTTATTTCTTCTTGAGGAAACCTCCTTCCCTGAAAAATGACTAGGCAGTGACATTTACTGGGCTCTAAAAACATGATATTAAGCTTTTTATTACTGTACAATTACAAATACACTGTCCCAATATATAATACATTTTTATAGCAGTTAGTATAGCAGCTTTGTTTTACAAGCTGTACCCTCGTATTAAAAAGCTGCGATAATCAAAATGATGTAAATACACCTAACATAAAGTCATGCATAGTCTTGTTACTTTGAAGCAGAGCTTCACAAGCAAAACAATATTGAAAATGTTACATCTTCACACTTTACAACAGCTTATAGAAGTTGATCAAACTTCCATTCAATTGTTGTTATATATCATAATTTTAATAAAGGGTATAGTTTGTGTTTCCTCAGTCATAACCTGACTGCCATCAATGCCTGTTTCAAGGACATTCCTGCAACCCATTTGTTTTCAAATTTCCTGAAGTAAAGAGAAGCTTGCTCATCCATTTCTGCTTGCACTGGCATGTCTCCCATTCCAGACATTCCAAGCTATCACCGACCTGTAACCGTAATGTTTCAAATCAGCCTGTTGCCCAGGGCACTGCCTTCTTCAGTGTGGTACTGTGTCAGAAATGAATGGATACAATCTCTGACCTTGTGATCTTCATTCGCAAGAGCTTCTGCTGGCTCACACCATATAACTGGCAGTGCTTTACACACTGGCTCCAACCCAGCATCATCACACTATACTTTATTTGTGAATGGATGACAAATATTTGTCTTAGAGAATCATCATGTTTGAAAATAACAAGGATACTTGTCACAAAAAACTTGTAGCATAAGTGATGTTGCAATTGTAAACCACGTCTGGCACCGTAACATTTGAATACAGAAAACAAGTATAATTGAGTGCAGAAGGAAGATTGGCTTTGCAAAGTATGTGCCCTCCACTGCAGTTAACATATCTGTTTATATGTAACTCAGTCTTTTTGCTCATCTTTTTTTCTTAACCGGAGAGGCCTGGTTTCTTTTCCAAGATCTGCCAGTTGTGCTTCAGATACGTTTGGATTAACTTAACCTTTCTGTTAATTTATTTAGCAGTGTACTGCTAAACATTACTTTGAATTTTCATACTGTAACATTTAATTGCCAAGGCTCTGTGTCATTCTGCCTAGGTGAAAGCCATATCAAAATGTACTGTGATCTTTGTTGTAGTAAAAGAATGAAAAGGGCTTTCTTGGTTAAGACACTTCAAATATAGATCCCAGACAGGCATATTAAAATCACCACTGACCAAGATTACGCACATGCAGCAAAACATGAAAGATGAAATGACACATGCATGCAAGTCTCAGTAGCCTGGCCTCATGTCAGTGATACAGAATTGATATAGGAGAATCGGACAATTCCACCCAGTTCTGTTGAATCTCTGAAGTGACACTTGGTCCTTGTACAACTTGTCAACACTGTGCTTTTGGTTCCTCAGGCCCTGCTGAAGATGGACTGCCAGGGGCTGGTTGCCAGGCTTATCCAGGACTTTGTGCTGCTCACCACTGCTGTGGAAATAGCTGGCAGGTGGAGGGAGCTAGCTGAGAAATTGGCAAAGGTGTCCAAACAGCAAATGGATGCTTACGAAGCTCCTCACAGGGACAAAAATGGAGTGGTGGACAGTGAGGTAAGACTACAGGGATATATGATAGTATGCAAATACTACGTACATATGCTCAGACTTCTCTCCAAATATTTTTCTACAACATATTTTAATTATATATAAATATTGAAATAAATCAGTTGCAATTAGCATTGTTTTTAAAGTTCCAAGATATTTTTATTTTCCATGTTATGAAGTAAAAACTCAGGGAAAGGCCCTTTTGACTGACATTCTAGACTTCCAATTTAACTTTACTCTTTAGTGACAGTATTTCCTTTAGTTTTGTGAAGGTGTTAAGATATTTTAAAAAAATATTTACTTTTTGGATGTGTTATGTTAAAACACTATAGGGTTTTATATAAAGGAATGAGGGAATATGCATTGTAATTCAACATATTGAGAAACCGAATACTTAAAGTAGTCATTGCTTATCAAGATATGAAATAACCTATGACTCATTGTTGTCACATTTATTTTAATAAAATGGGTCTTTCTCGTTTCCCCGACTTATCTACTTCAAGATTACACAATTTCATACCCTAAATTAATATGATAAAGCACTGTTGTTCCATTGCCGTTTGAAGGGGTTATACAGTTTTCAATATTGACCATGCATTTTCAATGAAGAAAACGCTGCATCTCTGAATAACAATATCAAGCTGTGTCTGACTGATTGATAATGCTTCTTACAAGTCACTCACTAAATTAATCTTGTATTTCTGTCGTAGGCAATGTGGAAGCCGGCGTATGATTTTCTGCTGACCTGGGCGGCCCAGATTGGCGACAGTTACCGCGATGTGATCCAAGAGCTGCACTTAGGACTGGACAAAATGAAGAACCCAATCACTAAGCGCTGGAAACACCTGACAGGCACGCTGATACTTGTCAACTGTCTGGACACACTGAGGGCTTCAGCCTTCAGCCCTTCCACTCAGGATGACTTTGCTATTTAAATGCCTGCGCTCCTGCCCACTGTTAGACTGGATCCCTCATGAGAATCGTGGACATAGTTTGCCCTGTGATATCCCAGCCAAAAATTAAGTGGTCTCAGTATTTTTTAACAAAATATTGTTTTTTAATTATCAATATGGTTGTCAATGTAATTGTTTAAATCTTGTTTTTTAAGTGGCACATTTTTGTCTTCTTTTAACCACTTTATGACACCTTTTCACATTATCTGCATAACAAATGAGTAGAGGTTTGTTTGGGAAAACAATATATGTAAACACTAGTGCAACAGTTATTATTACAGAAATTGCTATCCTGTATTTTGATTACAAACGTGTTTGGAACAGGTGTTCAGAAATGGCTAGTGAGGATGATAATTTGGCTCTTGTTAACCTAAACCAATAAAAGTCCAAATTGCTCTTTGTCCAATCAAGAACCTCCACTCAACTTTGTCTGCCTCCTATCTAGTTCTCATTAAAAGAACGTCCATTTCATAGATCGCTATTTTTGTGCTTCTATTTCTATGACTTCAGGCTGCTTTTTACAACTGCATTTTTGTATATTTTGTACTGGAGCTTCTTGAAAATAAAGGTTTTTAACCTTTTTTAGGCTACCTGCTTTTTAAATAAAGTCAGCCAGTAATGTCAAGGAGAAATACATTTGTATCCGCATTAATCCTGTATTTGAAGTTTCTGGATTTTTTCTAGGCTTTGTACACTGTGCAAAGAACAATATTATAAATTGAATCTCACTACTGCATATTGTTAAGTCCCTTTGTTAAAAATGTTAACACCTGGTTTTAAGTGTATTTTAGTATCATAGATTCATTTTGTTATGTTTTGTTTTATTCATTTATCCTGGTGGCCTAATTTAAAACATGTTTTCACGGCATTGCTGCATCACAACTTCACCTGGTAGTGGTTTATTCCACATGTTCAGAGATTTGATCTTGTATATACTTGTGAACACAATCAGCGATGTCATTATGTCTGTTTCATTTGTTTTGGCTTTTGCTCAAAGCATTTAAGAAAATCTTCAGTAAATTTGGATTGTATTTCTTTTCCATAAACTCAATAAAAAGTGGCTGCACATTTTGAAATATTTTTAGTATATAGTTCTTTCCTGTTTATCACAATAATGCACAGAGAAGCAAGTCAATATTTTCAATCTAAAATGATACATGCTTGCCAAGATTAAAAATGTTTGTGCAAAAAATTAAGGGAGAACTGGCTTAGTTGCCTATACAGAACTCTTCACTTCTATGGTATTTACTACAATAACACATTTTTTGTCTTAATTTAGTCTTACATCTACATTTAAAAATGTTAGACAAGCAGTACTCACTTGAAATAACAAAGGGTTCATTTGTTGTGCTTTCCCAGTTAAGAATGCCCGTCCATCATTTACAGACATCTTTATAGAATGGCAGGCTAAAGAGGTTGCACCTAAAGTTTTTCTAAGGTATGGAGAGGTGTACACAGATGAGAATTCTTCGGAATAATTGATTGAGTTTGATCAACCCCATAAGTGAATTCACTACAAGTGATATAAATGGCAATGCAGTTTATTGTACAGCAAATTAAAGACATTATTTTAGAATTCAAAGTGCCCATTTCATTTTCACAAGAGAAATAAATATATTATTTAAATAATGTCGAAAGATGAAATTATATGGAAAAAAACTTTTTTTATCCTAAGGGTTTAATTGCAATAGGCATTAAAGCTTGATACGAAGGCTGTATAATAGCTCATTTTAACATAAATTTGTTTGCTTTAACAGCATTCCATACTGAAGCATTAATCTTGAACAAAAAGCAAAATATCAAATTCAAAAATCAATTGACAACTGATTTTGATCACTACTAAAAAAAAAAGAGCTAAAATGAGTACAAAACGCTGTATAGTATAACAGTGTCCAACAAGAAAACAGTATAATGAAATAACAAGGGCTGGAAAACATTTAAATATTTTCAGCTATGATGTAAACAGATGACATAAAGTAATGCTTTGAAGTGAAATAATTGCACTCCCTGGGGCATTTAAGGTCAGTATAACAACATGTGGCTGAAAAATCATTCTTCATACCAGTTGTGGAAGTTAATACAGTATTACCAAAACCCACAGTAGGTTATTTTTTAGGTGCTTAAATTTGTGTTTTTTTTTTTTTTTGTCTCTTCTGATCTCTGGATGTACACCTTGGTAGCAAACTCTAGGCTCATTTATGAGGGGAGTGAGGTTAGAATTCTACAACAACGGATAAACCCCTGGTCATTTCTTGTGAATGTTGCTTTTGAATGTTTGCTTTTTTCCCCAGAACATTTCAGATTGTAAACTGGGTAGTCCTAGGATAAATGCATTTGAAAGAACTTATTATGTTTTTTTTTGTGATGTAGCATTTATTCAATAACTTCAGAACAAGAAAGGTTACAAATGAAAAAAAGATAACATCGATTAATGGATCACATCTAGCTGTTTTTTAAGGAAGTCAAGGCATTAACCTTAACTTCAACTTGGCTGGGTACCTTGTTTCAAACCTTTGGATAAAGTAGTGCCTCCTCTTCTCAGATTTAAGTGCCCTTCCACCTAATTTTCACTTCTGTCATCTGGCTCTTGTTTCACTGTTGTGAAGAAGTGCACTGGCTTTACTTTGTCACTGCCCTTGAGAATTTTGAATATTTCTAATAGGTCACCTCCTAAGTGACCTCTGTACTTTTTCTGTCAGAATGTAGGACATTCCTGTAAGTCCTGGAATGTTGTTCTCTGGATTGATTCCAGATATAATCAACAATGTAGCATGTGGAATCAATGTTTGTTATAATCGATATTGAATCAAACTGGAATCAACACCAACATGTGAAATCAATTGTAACAAACTAAAAGCCTAATGTACAATTTTAGCATCTCTTGATTTGAATTATTATCCATTTATTTTTGAATTATTGAATTACAATGGTTGAGTTTCAAAACTATGGTTGCTGCTGGAAGAGGTGTTAGTGAGGCCAGCGGGGGGCACTCACCCTGCGGTCCATGTGGGTCGTAATGCCCCCTCCGGATTAAACGTAAAACCGAGGTCCTGACTCTCTGTGGTCATTAAAAATCCCAGGGCGTTTCTCGAAAAGAGTAGGGGTGTAACCCCGGCGTCCTGGCCAAATGTCCCATTGGCCCTTACCAATCATGGCCTCCTAATAATCCCCCTCTATGAATTGGCTACATTACTCTGCTCTCCT